CACAATACCTTCAAAACACAAACGACTTACAAATAGAATACATGAGTTTTTTTTTTTTAATTATGCAAAGTTAAGTATCCTTTGTATCATGTAAAAGTTAGAAAACAAAATCCTTGGGAGTCAACCGAAAGTTCATTTATGGTGCTGAACTAACCTGTGTCGTTTCTGATTCATTTCACTGTGGTTACGTATGTTAAACTTTGTATTAGGGGTTTCTTTGTAAAGCTTGTTATCATTCAAAACACACGATTCTGACAACACCCAGCTTAGGACATTCTAGAGTGGTTCAGCGCTACAATTCGGGATTTGATTTCCAAAGTAGATGCAACGCAGAAGCCTATTTTGTAGCTTTGGCATTAAAAAAAAAAAAAAAGCAAGCAAACAGCTTACTCTAGGTTAATGTGGAAAGTTCAAGGTAACGTTCAAGCTCAAACTGATTTCAACCTGAAACGGAGAGGGGTAAAAAAAAAACTTGTAGGTGCATAGAATAACGCATGCGCTTTGAGTTCTATTCACATGTTTGCAGCTCCTTCGTGAAGGTATTGATTGAAACAAACTTTTTCAAAGTTTAATAATTATTATTGGCACACTGTAGTAATAATTTTGAACCGAAAAATACAATTCGGTCATTAATTGGACATTTGACTATCGCTTTACATCAGTAAATTACTGTTGACTGCAATTTTACGTAAATACATTAAACAATTCCCTATGGCTTTGTTTAAGTATTTTAACCAATTTCCCATGACTTTACTTATGTACATTAACCAATTTCCCATGACTTAACTTATGTACATTAACCGTTTAAAATACTTATGTAAAGTCATGGGAAATTGGTTAAGTACATAAGTAAAGTCATGGGAAATTGTACATTAACCAATTTCCCATGACTTTACATAAGTATTTTAAACAATTTGCTCGGAGTTTACCTCCGGCAAGTCTTCTAAAAATATAGCATTTAAAAATAATTCTTATAAATGTTCTTTAGCCACCAAAAAAACCAACCAATATGTTGCAATCATGATGTGTCTTATACAATATATGAGGAATTGTTAATAGGACTTTTAAACAGTAGACCAAAAAAAGTTTTGTCTGAACAAACAAACGTAATATTCCAGGTGATTCTGTATCACAAGAGATGACGATGAATTCTGATAAACGGGTTAAGTTCTTTCACTCCGTGAGACCCCCCTCCCAAGAAACTTGACTGTGGAGGTATATAAGGTTGCTCCTCGTGCACTGCCATCTGACTGTGTTTTAAGCAGGAAAGAGACGCTCGTCGCCACCATCATGATTACGCCGACGATGTTTGCCATCTTTCTCCTGACCTCGATTTGTCACTTCGATATATCCGTCGGAAACAGGTGATTATCATTTATAAGTTTCATGTTCAGATGTTGTCATGTTAAACCTTTCATGTGGTACAGAACACTAAACTATGAGTTTCATGTTCAGATGTTGTCATGTTAAACCTTTCATGTGGTACAGAACACTAAACTATGAGTTTCATGTTCAGATGTTGTCATGTTAAACCTTTCATGTGGTATAGAACACTAAACTATGAGTTTCATGTTCAGATGTTGTCATGTTAAACCTTTCATGTGGTATAGAACACTAAACTAAAATTTTACACGTGAAACGGAGTCCATGCGTGTGGGTTTATGTAATACATCTGCCAGATAAAATCTAAAAATTGAAACGACAGTCAGAGAGTTACGATAAGCAACTGATAATCAGGGAAGTGCTTAGAATTTTCTCAATGAAATAGAATTAATAACACATTTTACACGTCTAACCTGCTTGGTATACATGTTGAACCTTAAACATCGATTAAATCGTGGAACCAGTTCTATTTCCAATGCTCCTTGTTCTCTCCATTTTAAATGGCCAATTTTCACGTGTTACATGCTGAAACTGATGTATTCCTAATTGTAATAAGCTTTAATATAAGTAATGAAAACGTTTAAATATGTTTCAAAAGAAACATCACAACACCAATATTTCATAGAAGATTGAAGATCGCGGAGATTGAGCCTCGAATTCTGGCTGAGCTGCAAGGACCCACAGTTTTCTGATCTACTCCTTCGTCATGAAGAATGTAGTAATCGGTAGCCCATCCTGCTTTATATCTTACAAAAACTTAAAAGACAGTTTCTGCTAACAATAATGAGATCAAAGATTACTAAACATTGCATGTGTACGTTATTATATGTATATAAATTCCTATATATCACTTCAGTATGTTTGTTTCAATGCGTCCTTCTTAGAAACGTTTTCCTTGGTTTTTCAGACAAGCGGGTGTCAAAACAATGATTGTTGTACAAAACGTCGCATTTGACAGTCCCATTCCTGTGATTAGGATGTTTAATACTCCTAGGCAAGATTATCTGAAAATGGCTCAGTTATCACCTGGATGTTCAGTACATCCAGGTGTGGATGAAACAAGTTGTCATGAATCTGGTTTGGATTTTCAGTACATCCAGGTGTGCATGAAACAAGTTGTCACGAATATAGTTTGGATGTTCAGTACATCCAGGTGTGGATGAAACAAGCTGTCATGAATCTGGTTTGGATGTTCAATATCTCTGAGTGGAAATAACTGAGAATGTTGTCACTGTTACTTGGATGTTCAGTACATCCAGATGTGCATGAAACAAGTTGTTATGAAGCAGGTTTGGATGTTCAGTACATCCAGGTGTGGATGAAACAAGCTGTCATGAATCTGGTTTGGATGTTCAATATCTCTGAGTGGAAATAACTGAGAATGTTG